CGTATTGAGTTTCCAAGCTTCTGAATTGGACTATCAGGGTTGTCTTTGATTGCTTATTCTATTCTTTTACCATTGTATTTGACATTTGCATGTTTGTTCACTCTTTTCCTTGAACATGTATGTTCTCATGTAATTTTCTTGATCTGAAAATAAGGAATAAAAAACTATTTTTTTACATATAAAATGAATGAGAAAGTATTTATTATACATAAAAAGTATGAAAAGTATTTATTATACCTAGAAAGTTGGACCACCTTGTACAACATATGCAAGGATCCTCCAATTGCAACCTTCTTCTTCTACAGCGACCCTACTCCTTTCATATTTTTATATATTGAACTCATAGCCATTTCTCACCACCCAATATGTCAGTGCATTTATAAAAAGACCGATATTTGAGAACTTCATCAAAGTTTCCAAGTTTTTTTTTCTCATGCTTATTGGTTGAGTGAATGCAGGACATTTAAATCTGTTTAAATCATCCAAGTTTTCAATATCATTATCGTCTTCTGGCTCACTATACCGATGGGCTGTAGATGGTGTAGTATGATCTAAATGACTTTTCTCAATCCTATAACTTGCTCTTTTGGCCTTCGTTCACATTCTCTTGAGTTTCCTGATTAGGTCTCGATGAGTAGGTTGTTTATCAACAAAGATATCATTATTTAAAGAGTCTTCAATATCCTCTAATTCCTCACTTGAAGCATTTGACTTTGCATCACCATCTGAGGACTCGTCAAATTGAATGTTGTCACTATCTGAAGAATCATCTGCCTTTGAGTGTAATGGTTCTTCATGTACTAGTTCTTCTTGCAATGGCTCAACTGGTTCTTCTTGAAATGGTTCTTGAAGATCTGTTTCTTCAGGACTATGTGATGGTTCTTCATGTACTGCCATTTTCTTTTCAAATTCCTCTTCTAAAAAGGCCTTTGTAATAGCAATTTTTGCTTCAATTTCATCATCAAATTCCCTTGAACTTGTAATGGCTTTTCACTTTCAATCATCAACTTCAGTTGCATTTAGTTGCAAGTTCATCTTCATAAACTTCATCAACATCCCTTGAAATGTTATATTCTTGAACATGAGTACCTTCCCTTGAACTATTTTCAACATCATCAACTGCCTTAGATTGCCTTGAACTGCAGTTTCATCTTCTTGAACATAAGTATTTTCCCTTGAAATCTCATCTTCTTGAACATCAGTATCCCTGCATTGCTTTGGACTGCAGTTTCATCTTCTTGAACCTCATCAGCAGATCTTGAATTTTCTTGAATATTTTCCACCTCAATTTCATCCTCACCATTTTGCAAACATAGCACTTCTGGCTGAATTGGTATTGGTAACTAAGGTAGTTAAAATCGAGATTTTACTTGAAATCGGAGAGGAGTAGTAAAATCGAAAACATAAAATCGGATCGTAAAATTGTAAGATTTTACACGTCTTGTAAAATTAATAGCAACGCATTATATATATATATATATATATATATATATATATATATATATATATATATATATATATATATATATATATATATATATATATATATATATATATATATATATATATAAACTGTTAGTACTTACTACTTAAAAATCATCTCATAACACAAATAAAATAAGTCCAAACAAATATAATGTTAGAGTAGGTGACCAACAAGCCAACTTGTGGCTGTGGTCTTTCCATTTATTATTGTAATAAATAATCATTTTCGTATTAATGATAAAACACCTTGGCATTCTATATCTTTGTCCCTTTGTCACAAGCATAGATATAGTCCTTATAGTTATTACAAGTACTAGTAATTGATCGTTAGGATCGTGAGATATTTACTTTAGTATTATAATTGTTAAACGTGTTCCTAGTCGAAGGGTTACGCCACCAATGAGGATATCGGCCTTTCCCATTAAGAGACTAGCACATAGTGTATGTGCACTGCATCTCATGAGTAAACGGTATTGTGATATCGGCATGCATAAGTGGGTGCTCGTAAGTTGACGAGTTCACTGAACTCCCTCACCCTAGAAATCTCTAAGTGGTTCTCAATAATCGAGTAGAGATATCTATGGTATAGTTTTACACCATTAGTCCTTATGACCTAGACATCATTGTGACGTCACTAGAGGACCAGCTGTATGGTGACATGTCCCTGAGTTCCACCGAGGACCACCCCAAGGGCCAGTGTTCGTGCAGTCCGAAATCTAGTGGGAAGTCTGTGCATTGTAGTCGGGGATTCGATCGCTAAAATAGTCTTGGATGTCCTGTGTGTTCTCATAGTTTGTAATCTCTAAGTCTCTAGCCAGAGCTGACTAAGTGATGATTAGAGAATTCGATTCTCTAAGTCATGCACGTAACGATTACAACACTTAGAACGATCGCACAATCATTGAACTAGTAAGGAGGTCTCGATGAACCAATGCTTCTAGTTCAATCGGGACATATGAATCCAAGGGATCGTATTGTACGCTAACTATATCAAAAGGTTCTTGCAGGTGTTGAGTGTAGATATTACACTCAATACGTTTACTTTACGTGGATCTTTTGTTTAGATTTAATTATATTTGTGCTTTAATTGATTGATTTTGTGTTTTATAGGTGAAAAACGAGAATTAGGTGTCCATGAAGGAAAAAAGATGAAAAAGAAAGGAAAAAGTTGCAAATAAGGAAACAAATCAAATTGGAAAAAGGAATCTCGCCACAGCTTTGACAGTGTCCACCATTTCAAGCATATCTCTCTCATTCAAACTCCGAATTATGTGATTTTGACGGCATTGGAAAGCTAATTTCAAGGGCTACAATTCTTATTTACACAACATTCCAAAATTCGGACTCCAACATGGCACAAATCGACGAACAAATCCTAATGGGGGAAAGTGGCGGAAATTGATTCCTATTAGGTTTCCACTACTTCCTTATCAAGAAAAGCCTATAAAAGCAACAAGTCTCTACACCATAAGCACGAAATTTTACACCACAAAACACGAAGAACGAAGATCAACGAAGACTCAAGCATAGTTTTTCTTATTTATTTTATTTATTCTATTTTGCTTATCATAAGAATTACGAGTAGCTAAGTTTTTAATCTAGAATTTTGTTGGAACCCTATGTGGGGATGGTGAACCCGTTTTCTTGAGATTATGCAATTATGATTTTATGATTATTTCTTATACTTGTTATGATTGTTAGTGCATGAACTTGATCAATTTATGTGCTTTATCTGTGATTATTAATGGGATTGACTCGACAGAGCTATTTTGATAATTAGACGGTAAGTATAAGAACCTTCGAGTAGTTTTCACCGGATGAGTGTGTCAATTGCATGTGGTGTCGTAGACATATACATATCACCTTAGGTAGCCATTTACGAGACTTGTTAGTTAATGCTTTATTCATAAATTGTTTGCATAGACATATAGTGAACCGTTTATGAATAATAGACTCATAATACACGCGACAGCGGGTTATGAGTAAATTAGTGTCTCGGGTTAATAATCATGAATCATATATTTCATGGGATAGTTACATTTTTCGTCCCTATACATTACCACTTATACGATTTTCGTCCCTAAACAAGATGAAGTTACAATTTTCGTCCCTATACATGTCACTTTTATGCTGTTTCTGTCCTTCCGTCCATTTGTCCAGTTAGTTTGGACGGAAAAATCGCACGTGCGTCGCACGTGACACACAAAAGCACCTCAACACCTCAAAACGTTCAGATTATTAGAATAATTTTATAAATACCAAAATTCTCTCGAAAACCCTAAGCCCCAATTTTCGAAATCTCTCAATTCCTTATGAATTCATCATTGGAAGCACAATTAGAAAGTGGGCAATTCAAATTTTGAAGCTTCTTCAGCGCAGGTAGATAATTTCAGAACTTGCGGTCGCGAATTCGAAGTAAATTTTCTTCTCTCTTTATTTATCCTAGATTTTAATTTGGAAACAAAAATTAAGAATTTGTTGTTTTATATTGGGGAATGGAGCTTGAAGGATGAGTCAAAATAGTGGTTCTAGCTACAATTCAAGATCTGCTAGAAATGAAGTGTTTTATTGTAAATGTGGAGATGAGATGCCATTGTTGACCTCATGGACTCCTAGTAATCCTGGAAGAAGATTTCGTGTCTGTCCAAATTATGAGGTAATTTTTGTGTGTGTGTGTGTGTGTGTGTGTGTATGTGTGTGTGTGTATTGATATTTTTTGTCACACACAATTGTGTTTCTTTTGGAACAGAGAGTTAAAAACTGTGATGTGTTCAAATGGCATGATCCTGAAATGTGTGCTAGATCAAAGAATATTATCCCTGGATTGATAAGAAGAATAGACCGTTTGAATGATGAATTGGCCAGCTATAAGGAAAAAAAGAGATATAAGGGCAAATGAAGAAGATATGATGGCAAAGCAAGAAGATATGATGGCAAAGGAAAAGAAGTCCTATGAAAGAAAAATAAAGAAAATGGAAAATTTAATTGTGATGTATAACAATAGAATGAAGATCTTGAAAGTTCTTTTGGTTGTCTTAGGTTGTTTAATTGTCATTGTAATGATGAAAATTAGTGGTTAGAATTTTCAGTGATTAATATTAGTGGTTAAGATGTAGTTGTTTGTGATAACATTGTTGTTTTTTTTTTTGTCCAATATAATGCAAGTTTGTATCTCAATTATGTTTGCATTTTTGGTACATGTTAACAGATTGACAAAATAAATGCAAGCATCACTTACAAAAAATAAAATAAAACATAGACTACATTATTGATTCCAAAAACATCATTCATGATTCCAAAAACATCATTCAAAGTACAAACATATGATTTGTTTGCAAACATGATTCAAATTACAAACTTGTTTTCAAATGATAACATATGACATCTCACATTAGAGTACATCAAACTAAACTGCAAGTTCACAAAAACACTACATAATTCAAAGTACTTCATAGAACAAATTACATATTCATAAAAACGCAAGATTGTCTTCAAAATAAAAATGCCATCTAAGACTAAGATGCAAGATTGGAACCACCAACAGCCTTAGATGCAGAACCACCAACAGACTTGGCATTGGATGAAGAATCACCAACAGACTTGGACTTGGACTTGGAATGTGAGGCACCAGCAGACTTGGAATGTGAGACACTTGCTTTCAGATTGTTCAGAGTGATAAAATTGAGTCCCCCTTTGACAATAACAGGAGTGTTAACTGTTGGAGATGATTTGCTGGCTTGAAAAGCAATTGTATTTGTCCTTCCTTTAACATTCACATTCTTTTGAGAAGGCCTTTTAACCTGTAATTATCCCAAATAAGTTTATTAAATACTAATTCACAAAAGACTATAAATATATTTTAACCATACTGAAAAATAAAAAAAAATAATTGAAACCTGTAATTTTGTTTTTCTCTGTGGTGGTACACTTGAAACAGAAGCTTGAGTGGCCAAGTAATCTTGAGGAACTTCAAATACAGACTCATTTTGTTGGCCAACTGCATCTCCAGTTCCACTTTGACTTGCTTGCACCTGCTCAACTGCAGAAAATTTTCTTTTCTTGCATGTTTTTGAGTTATGGTTTGTGCCCCCACATGTCTTACATTTATTGTTTCTTTTAATTCCTCTCAATCTATGTGGATTTGCACCTGGGGCAGGGGGTTCATCAGGTTCTCTCCTCCTTAGCCTTTGAGGCCTGCCAGCTTTTTCAATGTAGTTTGGAGGCAGTGGAGCTTCTAATGAACTTTTGGGCCACAATTCAGGTCCATTGAAGCCTAAGATTGGAGGCTCATAAACCTGTAAATAGGTCTCAACCTTGTAACAATTATGTACATATGATTCAGACTCCTCATTTCTACACCATATTGCTGAACATGCATGTTTACAAGGTATGCCACTTAAATCCCATTTTTTGCAGCTACACTTTCTCTCCAACAAGTCAACAGTATGTTGGTCAAATGGACCAATAATCTGAAAATGATAATCATCACATTTCATAGATATACACTCCCCAGCCTCTTCCATAATCTTCATCAAGATCTTTTTTATCTTTGGACACAAGAGACCTTCCCATTTTGCAGCTTTTTCCTTGTTAGATTGCACCCTAGTCATTAACAGATTTCTAATAGTTTCAAGCAAAGAAATTATTGGTTTTTCTCTTGCTTCAAGAATGAAACTATTGAAACATTCACACATATTGTTCAGTAGGATGTCACACTTAGGATGTGGACTGAAATGGGATCTAGTCCAGTTTTGAGGAGGCTTTTTCACTAACCATTGATAGGCATCTTCATCAATGTCTCTCAACTCTTGCATTTTTCTATTAAATTCTTCAACCCTGGTTGCTTTAGCTGCCCCCCATAATGCTGTCTTGATTGCCAACCCAGTGACTCCATCCCTCTTCATATTGCTATGTAAATGTCTCACACAAAATCTATTTTCAGCATTGGGAAACAAAGTTTCAAAAGCTGGAATTAACCATTTTTGCTTGTCAGACATAAAAGTCCAATTATGTTCATTTTCAAATCCAATATCTGCATTCAACAAGTTCAAAAACCAGATCCAACTGTCTTTTGTTTCAGATTCAACTATTGCATATGCAATTGGGAAGATGTTGTTATTTGGATCTAACCCAACTACAGTTAATAGTTGACCTCCATGCCCACCCTTCAAGAAACAACCATCTACCCCAATTATAGGCCTACAACCATTTTTAAACCCAACCTTGCATGCATTGAAACACATGTACAACCTATGGAATCTTCTCTCCTCAGTCAGCTTCATGATAACTGTAGAACCTGGATTAGTTCTTTCAATTTCTAGGCAATAATCATAAATTTTTGAAAATTGTTCCTCCAAAGTTCCCTGGATTATCTTAATTGCCTTTTTTCTTGCTCTGTAAGCCTGTGATCTGGTTATATTGGCCTTCAAAGTTGTACAAATTTCACTTCTGAATTCATTTGTACCCAACTTTGGATTGTCTTTCAATTTTTTCATAAATATTTTGCCAATCCAACCAGACTTAAGGCTTGTATTGTTATAATTCCAGGAACATTTAGTGTGTCTTGGGTTATAGGTTTTCACTTGCCAAGAGTGGTCATTTTGCATTTTGGAGACATGAATGTACCATCCACAACCCTCTTTTTTACACACAGCCCTGAGTCTAATGGCATCATTTTTTGGAAATTTCACCATCATACCCCTCCTAAAACAATGAGACTCAATAGCAAATTTTGCCTCTTTTTTGGAACTGAAAATCAAGCCTAGCATGATGTCTGGATTCTTATTCTCAGTTTTAGGATTAAATTTGGGGAACTTCATTCTACCCTTACCCTCATCCTTATCACTACCATTTGAGCTGTCAAAATCATCATCACTAACTACACAATCTTCATCACCTTCTTCATTTTGCAGCCTATTATACATTTCCTCACTAATGAAATCATCATCTGCAACAGAGTTACCCTTACCCAACCCCCCAAACTCAGCCTCAGGATCTACAAATTGCTCAAACAATTTATCATCATCTTCCATGTCATAATCACTTTGATAAAACACATCATCATCCTCACTAAATTCATCAGATTCACTATTCTCTCCCTCCAACCCTACATCATCAATTATAACAGCTTCATTGACTAACCTACCCCCAGTTTCACCCTCCACATCCACTCCCAGATTTAGATGTTCAATAAATATCTCAACTTCCCAATTTTTAGGATTATGGCCTCTTATATTAAACACGTCACTATCAGTCTCAATACACTTGCAGTGTTTATCAAAACTTTTTCCATGCTTAAGCCAAAACCTAAGACTCCATTTTTCAGTGTACCCCAGCTCCTCAGCAAAACCCCAAAAGTCAAACATCCCTATTTGATCTATATCGACAAAATCAAACCATTCAAGACTTCCTCCTATGTACTCTCTTTTTGGAGAGTGCTTCATAATTCCACCATGTCTCATTTTAATGGTGAAACATGTTAATTCCCCAACACAAGCTTTATTTAAAATAATTAAGAAAAAAAAAAAAAAAAAACTCCAATCAGTAATCAGCTAAGGCAAACAATTTCGCTCAAACAAAAGTAAATTTAAACAAAAGAAACTTACCGTAATTCGGAGTACATTCTAGCATCAGTGAAGCTCTTCTCGACATTTTTGTTGTCCTTAGATGAAGAACCCTAGTATTTGTCGCAATTCCGTAGCTCCACTCCAGAAATTGTAATCTACTCCAAAAATCGTGATCAGTGATAATTTTGGTGATTGAACACTTTTTTACTTCAAGAAACTAGGGATTTACAGGTGAGATGTGGAACAAATTAGGGATTTAAAAAAGGGGGCATTTGGATTCAAGAGAGAATTAGGGCAGATTGTGTTTACCTGTAATGCGTAATTGAACGTTTTGAGGTGTTGAGGTGCTTTTGTGTGTCACGTGCGACGCACGTGCGATTTTTCCGTCCAAACTAACTGGACAAATGGACGGAGGGACATAAACAACATAAAAGTGACATGTATAGGGACGAAAATTGTAACTTCATCTTGTTTAGGGACGAAAATCGTATAAGTGGTAATGTATAGGGACGAAAAGTGTAATTATCCCTATATTTCATAATTGAGGGGTTTTGGGTGAACAGTTCTTGCATAGGGGGAAGATAAAATCCTAGGTCCGTTTTTATTGATATTTTCTCATGTTTATTTGCTTTCATAATTAGTTTAATTATTTAGTTGATTAAATTTGACAACTTTGCGTAGGCTGGATAAAAATCATAATTGTTAGAATTTGGTACTTAGGATTAGATAATTTGAGTATTCCTTGTGGGATCGACATCCGACTCTCACGAGTCCACTTTTACTACTTGTTTGCGATACGTGCACTTGCGTGTTAATTAGGTATTTAGCCCCAACAAGTTTTTGGCGCCGTTGCCGGGGAATACGGCTAAATTATTTATTTATTCTAATATCAAATTTGAGCAATTTTTCTTACTTCAGCCATTTAATTTTAATTTTTATTTTTATTTTTAATTTTGATTTTTTTTTATTTTTTTTTGTTACATGTCTGGTTACAATGTTGGGGCACCTCAAACGGGATATGAATGGCTTCCATCTGACGAATACCTCCAAAACACCTATGATATGCCTCCGCTTTGTTCCGCATGTGGTGGAAATCATTATTCCGATCAATGTTGGGGATCACCAAAAGCGACAAATTTCGTCGAAATTACCAACGGAGGTTATTGGAACACTTACACCAACACATAGGAGCAAAACTTTCAAGACCAAGATTTGAACGAGTTTCAACATAGAGAGCCACAATTTGATGATTTTCAAAATTATTATCCAATGCAGCAGCAGACCACTGATGAACAACTTGATTTGGTATCCCTTATTGCCGAATTCATGAAGTCCACTCAATCATCATTTCGAAACATGGAGATACAACTAGAAGAGATGACGCTCAAATTAAAATATGAGTTTCTTGAATATATTCCAGACGGAATCGGCAATGGTTACATCAAAGAAAATTCGGGTGAAGCCTGTGGTGAGAAAAATCTTCCATGTCCAGAAAATAGTGTCGATATGAGAGAAATAGAAATTACGAAGACACTTGAGCATGATGAATCTGAGAAGGCAATCGAGCTAAACCACGAAGATGCCTCAGAACAAGAGAAGAAGGAGATGGATGTAATGATTGAAGATATTCTAGTTGTGGACCCTGTCGTTGATCTAAATGTAGATTTGAAGGCATCAATAGAGGTTGATGAGAAGACGAATGTGTTTGAAGTGGAGGTTATACACAGACTTGAGGTTTTTGTGTACCGATTTGAGGGAGCGGGTGATGAAGATCCCATCTTGGCTTCGTACCGATTGATTACAACAAAAAAAGACTACAAGTTAAGGTGGACCGTGACATATTGCAGTGCTATCCATGCCTTGGTTGCAATTGAAGTGATAGAGCTCATGGATGGATGCGCAATCTACAAGGCTTTGGATTGGACATAACAATTTCAAGAAGCGAAGTCCGGCTGAAGACTTAAAATTAAACGCGCTCCTCGGGAGGCAACCCGAGCATTTATCGTTTTTTTTTTCTCTCACATATTTTCGTATTTTTAGTTGCTTTTAATTTTCTTAGAATGTATATAAGCTTGCAACCTAATAATTTAATCATGTTTGAATTTTTAGGTCGTAAAAAAAAGTTTGCTTGAAAGAGGAAGAGATGGAGAGGTGCAACACGTGGAGGAAGTTTCGACTAATCAAGGTGTATTCTATCCTTAAACTTCGTTTTAATTACATTGAGGACAATGTAAATTTTAAGTTTGGGGGTGAAAAAACACTTTTTATGTGCTTTATAGGTTTTAGATTGCATGCTTTAGGAATTTTTTTCTTTATAGTCGTTTTCGTTTATTTATTGTTTTCTTAAAAAAAAAATTGCTTGAGTCGAACGCATCGATGAGTTATGATGATGAGAGATGATCAATGTTTAATGATGAAATTGCTTGTTTTATTGTGATAAGGATTAGATGTTTGTTTAGCTTTCGATTCAACGGAACTTAGAAACGAATTATTGCTAGGAATCACACTTTGTGCATTGCTTGGGTTGAATGTTTTGTATTTTAAATTTGGAGTTAAATTGTGTTAGATCATGCTATATTCGGTTTTAGACCTCACCTTAGGAAATTTATGATACCAAGTATTGAGTAGTGAGTGATTTGGGATATGATTTGGGCCTTCTTTGATCCGTTTGAGCCTTTCAAGCCTACCTTTTTATCGAAATTTTCCTTAGAACCTTGATTTGAGCCTCGGAGAAAATGTGTTCTTTCTTTTAGCCAATGTGTATAAGGTAGAATAGATGGAGATTCTTGAAAAATTACCCCTTGGAGTTCGGTTGAAATTTTTTATAAGGTCCTTCTTCTTCTTCCCCGAAAAAAAAAAAGAGAAAAGAAAAAGAGAAAAAGAAAAGAAGAAGAAAAATATATATGTATCTATATATATATATATATATATATATATATATATATATATATATATATAAAAAAAAAAAAAAAAGAGAAGAAGAAGAGACTAGAAGAGAGAAGTAAGGACTAGTTGTTGAATTGTTTTGAAAGATCGATCCATTGTCTTAAGAGCAAAAGTGGAGACTTTTGAACTCTTAAGAATCGAGTTTATTAAAGTCCTTAGAGGTGACTTCATTGTTTCAAACGCTTATATTTCAAATTTCGGCGTAATCACCTCAATTCAAGAAGAATAACCACATATACCCATATTTCCTACCTCGAACCAAATAGCCTAACAATTGAAAGCCAAAAAGCCCCAATGATCCCAATAGCTTAATGTTCGATATTAGTAGAGTAGAATAATTTGGTGAGTATTTGTAGTCAAACATATGCATGTAAGCATAAATTTTTTCTATTTTTAATTTACAAATATTGGATGCTTGAAACAATTGCATGATTTGTGGTTTTTGACTATGGTAAGTGACTAAGTGCTTTTGAATTTTGAGCTTGCGAATGCCTACGAATTTTCATTATAATTACAAGTTCTGAAAACATGAAGTTGGTCATTGATCTATGTGATGAGATGCGGTAGTTGAGTCATTTGCTTACGATTAGATTTTGCTTGAGGACAAGCAAAAGTTCAAGTTTGGGGGTGTGTTGAGTGTAGATATTACACTCAATACGTTTACTTTACGTGGATCTTTTGTTTAGATTTAATTATATTTGTGCTTTAATTGATTGATTTTGTGTTTTATAGGTGAAAAACGAGAATTAGGTGTCCATGAAGGAAAAAAGATCAAAAAGAAAGGAAAAAGTTGCAAATAAGGAAACAAATCAAATTGGAAAAAGGAATCTCGCCACAGCTTTGACAGTGTCCACCATTTCGAGCATATCTCTCTCATACGAACTCCGAATTAGGTGATTTTGATGGCATTGGAAAGCTAATTTCAAGGGCTACAATTATTATTCACACAACATTCCAAAATTCGGACTCCAACATGGCACAAATCGACGAACAAATCCTAATGGGGGAAAGTGGCGGAAATTGATTCCTATTAGGTTTCCACTACTTCCTTATCAAGAAAAGCCTATAAAAGCAACAAGTCTCTACACCATAAGCACGAAATTTTACACCACAAAACACGAAGAACGAAGATCAACGAAGACTCAAGCATAGTTTTTCTTATTTATTTTATTTATTCTATTTTGCTTATCATAAGAATTACGAGTAGCTAAGTTTTTAATCTAGAATTTTGTCGGAACCCTATGTGGGGATGGTGAACCCGTTTTCTTGAGATTATGCAATTATGATTCTATGATTATTTCTTATACTTGTTATGATTGTTAGTGCATGAACTTGATCAATTTATGTGCTTTATCTGTGATTATTGGGATTGACTCGACAGAGCTATTTTGATAATTAGACGGTAAGTATAAGAACCTTCGAGTAGTTTTCACCGGATGAGTGTGTCAATTGCATGTGGTGTCGTAGACATATAGATATCACCTTAGGTAGCCATTTACGAGACTTGTTAGTTAATGCTTTATTCATAAATTGTTTGCATAGACATATAGTGAACCGTTTATGAATAATATACTCATAATACACGCGACAGCGGGTTATGAGTAAATTAGTGTCTCGGGTTAATAATCATGAATCATATATTTCATAATTGAGGGGTTTTGGGTGAGCAGTTCTTGCATAGGGGGAAGATAAAATCCTAGGTCCGTTTTTATTGATATTTTCTCGTGTTTATTTGCTTTCATAATTAGTTTAATTATTTAGTTGATTAAATTTGACAACTTTGCGTAGGCTGGATAAAAATCATAATTGTTAGAATTTGGTACTTAGGATTAGATAATTTGAGTATTCCCTGTGGGTTCGACATCCGACTCTCACGAGTCCACTTTTACTACTTGTTTGCGATACGTGCACTTGCGTGTTAATTAGGTATTTAGCCCCAACAGCAGGCAATTCATTTGTATCTAGGGAATCATGACGCGTAGTTGCTAGACGTCAATCTTGATTCGTTGGGTGATTAAGGTGAAACGAACTTCATCTTAGCCGTAACTCTAAGGGACGAGTTTTGACCACAAAGGGTTGTGTAAAACATTAACACATAAAATTAGCATGACCCAGCTAGAATCGAAATATTTGATTCTACACCCAATAGGAACAATAATTTAGTCATAGAAGAATGATATGAGACCTTACGTACCAAATAGTAAAGTTTCATCCACATTCTACTTTAATATGTCGAAAGAAACGAACTTAAAGTTGGTAGACGGCATATTGTCAGCAACTGTAATAGTAACTACATTCATTCCCTCAAAATTGAGCCTAAAATCTATGTGTAGATGTTTAAAATGGTAAACTGGAATCGCCCACAAAGAAATTTTGAAAAAATATAAGTTCCGCCTTCGTTCACCAATTCTTTAAATTTCTCAATGAGAATTTATTTTACCGTAGCATGGATACGCATACCCTATTACAAATTCGAATAAAATCGACTAAAATTGTTATATGCGGAACTTTCGAAATATAAATTGAAACAAAACAAAAGGAAAAGAAACTCGGAAAATGGAACATCACCTTCTCATCCATAGAAACCATTTCAATACTAGCAGTTTCTGTTTTTTCCCACCTATCTGACACTAACCATAGACGAATCACTCCCGCAATTATCTTCCACTCAATCTTCTTGGAATTAATGTGATGAAGCAATGAAATCGGTGGAACCATACTTGTCAAACTTGAAATGGTGTTAAATAAGATACAACCGAAAAAATAACACTACAACCGAAATATTCCTTGAAGATACAACCGACACATTCCAAGAAGATATATAAAGTACAAAAGTTCCGGGAGGTCCAAAAAACGACAAGTAGAAAATAATGTTCGATTTACCTCGTGCAATATTAAAAATTACATAAATTAGGTTCAGAAACTTCAAACAGGATTCTAATGGATATTTCCCATTGTTCTTCCTAGGTGGTTTTCGTAAATGGGGCCGTGAATGCAAATTCAAAAGATAAATGTGGTCTTTTTAAGGTTTCTATCGCGATTCGCAAGACAAAAATGGATTTGGTAGAGATTGCATCAATAGTGGGGATCGGGGGAAATATAGGTGGAAATTATTTCACGATTTTCCTTAGGGAATCTCTAACTGAGTCTCCAAATTCTGTTTTGGAGACCCATATGGTGACTCGGTACAATTTCACAGTCTCTAAAAAAAATATTCCACAATGGAGGACTCTATAATTTTGAGTCTCTAAATCATGTTATGGATTATTTTATGTAGTAATTTGATTAGGGCTCAAAATTTTATTCATATACGAGATTGTAGATAATTATATTTTATTTTAACAATCTTAATTATTTTTAGAGTTAACTGCAAAAAATCCCCTAAACTTTGGACGTTTTTGCGCTTTACCCCCTGAACGGAAAAAAGTTGCACGAGCATACTTGAACTTGTTAAATTGTTGCACCGATGATTAAAAAATCCATTTATAGCAAAATCCTTGCCTGAATTGCACACGTGCAACTCACACGTGAAAATAAAGGGCTAATTTCGTCAATTCACAAGACTTTCAGATAAAAGAATAAAAAAATAAACTAAAAATACATCTCCCAAATAAAAACTCAGAGAGAGAAACAAATTCTTCAGAGGTTTTAGAAAAAATGGCGAAGTCGTGCAAAGGTCTGGCTACGGAACTCGTCAAATGCCTCAGCGAATCCGATTGCGTCAAGGTACAACGAACGAAACCTTTGTGATTTCTCTTCTTTAATTTCATCATTTTTTTTAATTGGTGAGACGAGATTGGCTAATTGGAAATGTGTAATCGAGATTTGAACTGAATTCATTGGAAATGTAGGTATATTTTGCAATTGGGGACTTTTGTATTGTAGAATTGAGTGATTTAAATCATGATTTTTTTTGATGAATTGATGTAGGTAGAGAATCGGCCGTATGGAGAATGTGCGAAAGAGAAGAGCCCACACATTTCCAGCGAGTGTGTGGGGCTTAGAGAAACCTATTTCAACTGCAAGAGAGACCAGGCATGTTTTTTTCCTCTCTATTTTCTTATTATTATGTGTGTGTGTGTGTGTGTGTGTGTGCAGTGGCGAATCCAGGATTTTAATTAAGGGTGTTCGAAATATAATAACAAAAAAATATATAAATAATACACATGGAATTTTTTTTAAAAATACTACCGTTTTTTTTAAAAATACTACCGTTTTAATATACAAATAAAAAGTTCTAAAATATTTTTCGACGTGGTCCCATTTCTTGGAAAAAAGTCATCACTTCGTCGACACTAACATTATCTAATATATCCTTTTCAATGTACGACACCAAAATATCATTCAACAATTGATCCCCCATACGATTGCGTAGTTCTGACTTGACAATCTTCATTGCAGAAAATACCCTTTCCACTGATGCGGTTGCAACCGGCAAAATTAACGACAACTTCAATAGCAAATACACCGATGGATAAGTAATATTTTTTCTCTTTGCAACCAACTTCTCAGCAAGCCTACTAGCCCCCACCATATTTGAAAAGTCTTGATCACTTCTAACATCTCTAATAAAATTTTCAAGTTGATTTTCAAGAACGATAAGACCACAATCATCAAACTCGCTTGGATAAAATCCAGCTAATTTCACCAAAGCATTTGTATCAAAAGCAGAGAACGAATTACTTGGATCAAAACACGATATCAAACTAAGTAACTCCGTATTGGTATTATCAAAACGATCGTTCAACTCTGAAAGTTGAAGATCTATGACTGTGTAAAGCACCTCAATTTGATAATGATTCAAGTTTGTAATTTGTGTACCTCTCCGGGATATTCTGCCATCTCTTGAGTAAAGTAGAAAATTATCATCCATGTTTGGGACAAGAATGTCATGCTCAACACAAAAGTCTGAAGTTTGTTGCAACAATTTGCCCCAACCATCTTCTCTCAATTCTTGCAGTCGATCTTTAGCAAAAGTAACAAGCTTCATGGCATTAGCAAGGTCTTGGTCTTTTTTTTGCAATGCTTGTGATAAATCATTTGTGATTCCCAAGACTGATCTCATTAAGTGCAAAACAAAGGTAAACTCAAAACACTCAATATTTCTTAAAAGAATTGTGGCTTGTCCACAATGAGCAACATCATCACCATTATTTGCTAAATACTCTAGTACATCAACCACCGACGAGAACAACTTAATCATACTCAAAATTGTGAAATAATATGAATTCCAACGTGTATCTCCCGGCCTTTTTAAAGTGGCTTCTTGATTCAAACCACTACCCGTTACAAAATTATCAAAAGAAATCTTTTCGCACAGTTTTTCAAATTGTTTCTCCCGAAGCAACTCTTGACGTTTACAAGAACCTCCAATAATATTTGCTAACATTGCAAGAGAACCAAAAAACTCACATAATTGCTTATTCTTCTTAGTAATTTGCACAAGAGCCAACTGAAGTTGATGAGCAAAACAATGGACATAAAAAGCAGACCTGTTTTCTTTCAATATTAAACTCTTCAAACCATTAAACTCTCCTTGCATGTTACTAGCTCCATCATAACCTTGGCCACGCACACGTGACAAGCTCAAGCCAAATGTCGTAAGAAGAGACTCAAGAGAAACTTTCAGACATCGTGCAGTAGTGTTTGGAACATGAACAACGCCAATAAAACGTTCAATAATTTTCCCTTCACCGTTCACATAACGTAAAGCAACGGCCATTTGTTCTTTAATGGAAACATCACGTGCCTCGTCAACTAGTAAAGCAAAGAAATCATCACCAATGTCACAAAGAATAGCCTTCAAGACAAAATGGGCAAATGAACTGATAATTTGGTTTTGAATATTTGGTGCTTTCATTATGCAATTTCCCGGAGAGTTATCCAAAACAACTCGATTAATTTCATCGTTGTCTTCCGCCATAACCTTGATAAGCTCAACAAAATTACCTTTATTTAGCGACTCATTTGATTCATCATGCCCCCGCAATGCAAGTCCTTGCCGTAAGAGATATCTTATGGCTTTAGTCGTTGTACGCAACCGAATGTAATACTCACGTTTAGATTCTTTAGTTTTGTTCGCAAGAGGAACATCTATGTGACATTTATTATTAATTTAATCTTGACAAGCCATGTAGCAATGATGATGAACGCTATCATGATTTCCCTCGTGTGTTCTCAAACTCTTTTTCTTGTGCCAATTCTTATAACCTTCACCAACAAATTTATCACCACCCCCTTTTGCACTATCGCCAACCTTAAAAAGATAGCAACATAAGCAAAATACCTCATCTTTACTTTCACTATATTCCAACCAACTACCAAATTCATTGTACCAATCCGCACTAAATCTACGTTGTTGTCCATATAAAGTAGATTGAGGAAATGTATGGAGTCGAGGTTGACAAGGACCTTTTTGCAAGTAAGCTCTCCGGATAGTTTCAAGCTCTTTTGAAGTCTTAGCAAGAACACACTAATAGGCAATCTTAATCCCGGGTCGGCCTCAATAGTGTTCACATTAACTTCTATTTGCAATTGAGAGTGAATACCTTGAACTTGTTCTTCGTGGGCGATATCATTAGTTGGCCTTCCAATATTCACATTATCATTTGATGTTGATGGTTCTTCTAGCCGAGAGCGTTTTGTCTTTGTCACAAATCGATCTAGTTTCTGAAAATAAATATAATTAGATAAAAATAGAAGTTTTTATAATAATTAAAAATGGATGGAATCCCTACATAATGTGGTGCACGTGCAAAGTGCATATATCCAACTAAAAGGATATATGGGGTGGATTAGTGGCGGAAATCATGTGTTGTTTGATCGGAGTTGACGAAGGGAGAAGGAAACCAAACCACGATCGTTTGATCGGAGTTGGATTGGTGGCGGAAATCATGTGTTGTTTGATCGGAGTTGACGAAGGGAGAAGGAAACCAAACCACGATCGTTTTTTTTTTCCAACTTTTTGGTGAAGCGTTTGTGTTCTCTGTTTTTATATTTTGTTACTGGAGTCAAAAGTGAAAAACAGAGGAAAAAGCCTTCTGGAAAATGGCCTCTGTTTGTGGGTAAGGTTATATTAATTTTTACTAAATTTCAATTTAACCCCCCATTAGTTATAAATATAAAAAAAAACCCAAAAATTATTATATAATTTTTTTTTTTTTTTTTTAAATCCAAGGGTGTGCAACTGCACACCCTAGGACTATGCTACATACGCCACTGATTCCGTATACTGCACAATTTCATAAGTATATATATATATATATATATATATATATATATATATATATATATATATATATATGCCACACAAAGTCATATATCTATGCTTATACTCAGAATCAGTCATAAAAGAAGAGATCAAAATCGAATGGCTTCTTTCGCCCATTTCTTGATCCCATTATTCCCCCTAGTGATGTTCTTCATCTTCCTTTACAAATGGCAAAGTAGTAATAATAATCATGCCCAAAAAAGGGTACCTCCATCTCCAAGAAAGCTACCCGTGATTGGAAATCTGCACCAAATCGGCTTATCCCTTCACAAATCGCTCCACTCTCTCTCTACAAAACACGGCCCGCTAATGCTTCTCCGTTTCGGCCGTGTACCGGTTCTCGTTGTCTCGTCAGCCGATGCAGCACGTGAGATATTGAAGAACCAGGACTCAATCTTCTCAAACCGGCCCAAACTAACAATTCCGTATAAATTATTCTACGGCTCAAAGGACTCGGTTTTTTCTCCGTACGGAGATTACTCGAACAATATGAGGGACGTATACATCCATCATCTTATGAGCGTTCATCGGTCGTCTTTCCGTGACGCGAGGGATGAAGAAACATCCCTCATGATTCTGAATATGACGCGACAATCGAGCTCGGTCGTTATAAACTTGAGTGATATGTTGGCTTCGCTAGCGCACAACGTGTTTTGTCGGGTGGCGTTTGGGAGAAAATACAGCATTAAATGCGACGAGGGCAGAGAGTTGAGAATGAAGTTAAACGAAGAGATGGAGATGTTGGGTAGTACTTATTGTGTAGGCGATCACATCCCTTGGTTGGCGTGGATCGATCGGGTGAGTGGTTTAAATGCTAAAGTGGAGAAATTGGCTAAGTGGTTTGATCGATTCTTGGAGACCGTACTCGAGGAGCATAGAGCTAAGAATATTATTGGAGAGAGCGTAGATTTTGTGGACATATTGATTGAACTTCAGAGATCGAACGACAAAGACGGATCATTTGCCGTTGGAGACGATGATATCAAAGGTGTTATACATGTAAGATTACTCTCTTTGTCACTTTATGTTTACTTAATCGGGCACGTAAAACCCGAGTCATGGATTACATTCAACACTCATGTCTTCTCTAGTCGTTAAAGAACTCCACATTTTTAATCGCATACACAACCACTAATGATGCATTTTTAGGGGGGCCGTTTGCTAATAAAATTGAACCGTAGGGTGGATTTTGCTAATAATTAAAAACACATCGAGTTTTTACCAATTAGAGTAAACACAAAGGTGGTGAATGCAATTAAACCAATGAAGACTATTTTGGAAAGAAAAAACTCATGCTCGTTGCAATTTTTCATATATTGCAACCAATTTTCATATTGTAGCGTAGTTTGAAATCCGAAATTGCATAAGGGTTCGACAACTTATGCAATAATTGACTCGATACTGGATCAAATCAGGGACAATCCGATAGTTCGTGAGGCCATGTGCGATACTAAAAATTAATATATTCGATTTTCTTTTTTTTTTAATAGAAAGAAAAGTAATATTACTATTAGGCCTTTTTAGATGCATTTTCATCCAATATTATTTTTTTCCAATGGAAAAATATACAAGAATTTTCTGAATTTGGTAGCTCCTAAAAAACATATGAGCTTGGAGGTCTCTCGGAATCCACTGAGGCCTATGGATTTGAGACTGTAATATGAATTGTATTTAATTATATTACGAAAAAATATTACGTCATGCTTTTTCGACTATCTTTCGATTTTTTTTCTTGCAGAACACGTTTGTTGGTGGAATCGAGGCAACATTTTCTGTTATGGAGTGGACGATGGCGGAGCTTTTAAAAAATCCAAATAAAATGGAAAAATTGCAGCATGAAGTTAGACGAGTAGCCGGATACAATGATGAGATAACGGAGGATGATTTAGAGAAGCTGCACTATCTCAAAGCAGTGATCAAAGAGTCCATTCGACTACACTCCCCTGCTCCGTTACTGGTCCGCGAATCAACACAAGACACAAAGGTAACGGGTTACGATGTTCCAGCTGGCACGATGGTTGTTGTCAACACCTGGTCGATTGGAAGAGACCCGATGTTGTGGGAAAATCCAGAAGATTTCAACCCCGAAAGGTTTCTCGATAACAATATGGATTTCAAGGGTGTGCATTTTGAGTTCATTCCATTTGGGGCGGGGCGGAGAGGCTGCCCGGGTATGGATTACGTAACCGTACTTAGTGAGCTTGCAATAGCAAGACTGGTGCATAAGTTTAACTTTGATCTGCCCGATCAGGCGAGGAAGAATGATTTGGATGTGTCTGAAACGGCCGGTGCAATTGCCCATCTCCAATTTCCTCTGCTTGTAGGCGTTACTGAGTCACTATACTTTCTCGAAGAATCTTGGGATTCACGGCAATAAGATTTTTATTTCGTTGGATGGCTATTATACGACTGTTATAATTTAGCCTCTTTCTTTTTAAAACAAATAAATAAGAAAAAAACTTAAATTAACTTGACTTCAGTAATCGTCAAATCCATTTTATTGTAAATTTGAATGTACTTTAGGCGAATTACATTTGAAGCCTTGAACTTGAAATATGTGGCAGTGAGATGCGAACTCAAGATCTTTCATAGGTCTGGGCTCTTTTTTTTGAGGAAAAAAGGAGCTTTTATTAGGTTAAATTTAGGGGAAGGAACTGGCCCTCCGAGTTTGCCAGCTCAATTGTGTTTACTAATGCAATGAGCTAATTTATTACAAGCGCGAGGAACAAAAGAAAACTGACACGAAATGAACGATAAAATATGAGCCCGAATGTCCTCCAGCTATGCTCCAAACAGGCAGAAACTAGCGTCTTCATCCCTAAGTGCCGTATTGAGTTGCTGGCAGTCTCCTTCGAGGATAATCGAGGTCCAACATTTAGCCTTTGCCATTTGGATCGCTTTAAGGGCTCCGTGAGCTTCTCCTTCAATAGCTTGGACAGTTCTTGAGAATTGTTTAACACTCCACCAAAGTACAGCCTTCTCTGAATTTCGAGCCACCATACCATCTCTGTAGAAAGATCGGGATGGCAGTAGAGCGGCATTTAAATTTACCTTGATGATACCGTACGGTGGTAAGCTCCAATTTCGTCGTGGGACGACATATTTGAGCGTAGGCGGGACATGGAATGCAGCTCTGAAAAATGATAGATATTTTTCGCTCCAACTACTCAACTTCCAACCTCTTAATCCCAACTCTCCACGAGCCTCGCGATTCCTTGAATCCCATGATTTCCAACACATAATAAGTGCCAGGCAGAAAAGATCTTTCGATAGCTTTTTCCTAATTCGCTCAAGCCATTGTCGGAAGGATGCTGGCTTGATTGCCCCATTGAGTTCGAACGGTTGGCCCAAACAAACCCCAGTTATGCTCCTATAGTGGACCAAAGCATGCACGGTTGTTTCGGGTTTAGTCCTACAGCTACCACATAATGGATTAGAGGAGACATGTCGTCAGAATAGGGCAACGTTGGTCGGGATAAAATCTCCAACAACTCTCCAAATAAAGATCTTGATCTTTGGTGGAATACTTAAATGCCAAATAAATTTTCAAAACTCTTTGTCTTCACTCCTCGAGGAGTTCCCCCTAGTCTTGGCCTCCACTATCGGTACCAAGATTTGACCGTGAAATCACCGGAGCGGGAGTAGTGTGACACCAGCCGGTCCTTTGCGTGAGTACTGTAGATGGGAGTCCTGATACTATATTGAATGAATCATTTATCTCTAACTCTATCTCTACCATCTATCTATCTATCTATCTATCTATCTATCTATCTACCAACCTTAAAAGTATGAATATTTTTTTGTTTCTTAACATTTTTGGGTTTCTTATTATTCCCACAAAGCTATAGCATCAATTAGTTATGGTCAATTGTGTGATAACAAAATGAAAATAATAAATTAACATAGCTTAATTATGTTGTATAAATATCAAATGTCTTATAAATTAACATAGCTTAATTATGTTGTATAAATATCAAATGTCTTTTCATGTGTTATAGTTATTCTAAGGAGATAGTTTATTTTATTTTTATTATAATTTTTTCTACATATTGAAATTTCGATGTAATTTGTATTTTTATAAAACTATATCTGAAGAGATTTCTAATGAGATAGTATATATATATATATATATATATATATATATATATATATATATATATATATATATATATATATATATATATATATATATATATAAATAAATTTATTTTAAAATAAATCATTTTATTTTAAGTTAGGGTCTATAACAAATAAGCTCATCATGGGCTACTTATTCATAAATGGTCCAGACAAAAAACTCTTTCACAAAAAAATTCAGACAGTGTTCCGATGTGTGTAAAAGGATTAAAATACCCCCTCAAATTTTAATATGCTCCAATTCATTCTTTAAGTCAAGTTAACCTCAATTTGACCCTAAATTTCACCAATTATTAAATTTTGACCTCTTAACCAATTTTGACAATAATTTTGCCCGTCGCCGTCGTTGACCGCCGGTCTCTGGTGTTGACTTTTTTTCTTTCTGCCGCCGCTGATCGGCGGTCAATGCTGGTCTCCAAAGAAGTTAACTTTTTTCTTTTTGATTTTTTTTGTCTTCAACATTTTTTGGCCCGTTTGAAAATAATATTGTTGTGGTCGACAATCATATTAACTATATTACTGTTTAACACATTAATATTGCTATATTACTGTGTAATAAAGTAGTATTAATATGTTGACCATTCAACAAGGACAAACATAATAAAAAACTAAAATAATTAATATTACTGTCAACCACAATAATATTATTGTGTTTACAGTAATATTACAATAGTGAAGAATAATATTATTATCTTAATCGGTCAACATATCAAACAAAGTAAAAAGGCCAAAAAAGTATGTGGTTGAGAGTAATATTATTGTGTTTACAATAATTTTACCGTCAACGACATTAATATTATTACGTCGACTAGGTAACAAATCAAACAAAATAAAACTGTCAAAAAAATAATAATATTAATGTGGTTGGTAGTAATATCATTGTGTTTACAGTAAATATACCGTCAACGACAGTACAATTACTGTCTACAACAGTACAATTATTGCAATGACAATACAATTACAGTCAACGTTCAGCGACGGACGTAAAAAAACAGATAAAAAATTTAGGAAAAAAAAAGTTAATACCGGTGACCGGCGTTGAACGTTGGTCAACTCCGGAAACAGGCGGCATAAAAAACAGGGGAAATTTGTTTATAAAAAAAATCAATACCGAAAACCGAAGTTTTAAAAAGGAAAAAGTCAAAATTGGATTTTTGTGGTCAAAATTGATGAAATTGAAGTTAAATTGGGGTTACAATTAGGAATTGGGTTTAAAGGGTTTGGGATAATTTCGTCATATACATTAATTATGCATTTATTTACAATACATATTAATTGGATGGGCTTATTGGTGAAAGAGATATAGTCCCTGAATCTAGAATAATAAAGATGGTTGGTCAGTGACTTATGCATAAAAACCCATTTAAGTTAAGCATTAGATAAGAACATTTAAGTTAAGAATATTATTGAGGATATTAAGCGGAAGAGGGAGTGGTAAGAACATTTAAGTTAAGAATATTATTGAGGATATTAAGCGGAAGAGGGAGTGGTTCGAGCATTTTCAGATACAACACATTTTCAGAGAGGCAAATCAAGTGGCTCATGAAATAGCAGCTTTGTCGAAGATGGAAAATTATGCTCTTGAGGATCTTCCTGCTACAATATGTAACATTGTATATGCTGAAAAGCAAGTTGAATAAAATTGCAAGCTTTTTCTTCTAAAAAAAAAAAAAGTTAAGCATTAGATACCTAGAGTAGTTTCAAATTTTAAATTAGTTCTCATATAATTTTTATCACGTAAATTCCACAAATATGAAACTATAATAAGTAAACTCAAACTAATTATTATTTACTAATATATATACGAGTAACAATATTTATATTATGTTCTATTAAAAGTATGAAATGTTAGTTTTACGTTTTTTAACGTTTTAATTTTTGGTCCACTAATCTTTATTTTAATTTATTAAATAATGGGTAATTCAATTTTGGTATTAAGGTGATTTTATGGTAATTGATTTGTAACGTTGATGACAATAAAAGACCATGATGGGTGGGATTTGTCTTCTGCCGTTACAAATCAATCGTGGCCCTCTTCTCTCGTCTATAAAAGAATCCACAACTCTTCTCCTCAACATAACAGAAAACTTGAGAATTCCATCGCTTACAAAAATATTCGTGAGTTGTGATTTAAGAGAGATAGACAGAAGAAGGTGTGCTACGAATAAAGTTCTCACAAGGAGATTCAGAGGAGGCCTGACTAGGCTTAGCTTGTAGATTGTTATCATCCTTGTTCATCATCTCTATCGAAATCCATGGCGAACGGTATGTCGATAATCCCAATTATGTGATTATGTTCTTAAGATGAACTTGATTTCAAGATTCTGTGATTAAGGTTTTCTGCATAAAATAAATAAAAGTCTTTCAACTGGTATCAGAGCAGGGTTTTGAAATCGTTTCATCTTAGAACTCTCAAGTATGTTATATGTTAATTATACGGTTTTATGAAATTGAATTACGATTGTGATTGGTATTTGTGTTTTGATATTTATAATCTGTTTTGACGAATTGAATTATTATTTGTGGGTGCTCTTCTGCAAAACACAACTTTTCCTACGAATTGATGTTTTCATGAATGTGTGAGATTTTTCTCTGAATTACTTGACTAATGTATATTTTTATTTAATATTTAATTACATAATGCATGGATTTGTATATGTATATTGTATGAATTGTCTGTGGACATTATCTACACTCACATGAAAAGTATATTTTAATTTATTGTTTAAAAAAAATATCATGGGTTTAATATGGTACATGCTATGGAATATGTGTGTATGGCCAAATGCATGTTTCTGTGTATAGTAAATACATGAATTGTATGTATTCTGTGAAGTACATGCATTCTTTTAATGTATCTCATATGCAGTAAATTATTTCTTTTGAAAAATGATTTGTTACTGTTATGATTATTTATTTCATGACTAATTTGCAATTAAAGGTATCAGTCAAATTAAATTAACGAGAATATCATTAGTTTTATATTTATGAAATTTACTAATCTTGTAGTTGCTAAAGTGACCTAAATTAGTAAAATCTAATAAATATAAGAACTATATGAAAGTTTAATCATTTACATGATATTAAAGATTATAATATTCTCAAATTGCAGTCATACTTAAGAAATTGAGACTAGCTCAAAGGATAGTCGATTTTAATTAATTATGAACTGGGTAGGATATCATAATTTATATTACTTAGCAATTAGAATTGTTTAACTAAAGGTACATGACTAATTGATGAGTGAGATAAATTATG